ATTTCCTGCAGAATTTGCAGACTGAAAGAATTAATCTTTTGTACGCCTTCTTCCTTGGAGAGGTTTTTTAGAAGGAATATATTTGTTCAGTAGCTTTCTATCTTTTCATATAAGTGCTTGCTCCCTCTTTCCCCTTCTCCACAGCTTGTTTACTCAGGGAATAAAAACTTGACCTTGACTTTAAGGTCTTTGGTGTTTCAGACTGTGCAGTCAGCAGAGAGTAAGGGGGAAAATCGATGTGAGCCGTATTAGACAAGTGTAAGGGTAATACAAAAGTGCTGGGAACTCATCCTGGAAATGGAAACAACTGAGATAGTTCTTAAAGGAGAGAACATCCCACTGATGCATGTCTTGTGGTTAAACCCCCACAGCCCATTCCCTTCTGCACCCTTTGTCTCTCCAGCTGTCTAACACATCCTTGGGGATGTAAGAAGACAGGGATGCACCAAAGGTACCCCTCTCAGCTTGATGGGAGCTGGACTTGGGGAACAAAGAGGACTAAATCTTCACCTCCCACCAGGTCTGCCTCTTCACCTGTGACTCTGGATATTACAGGGCTCCTGTCAACATCTCTTATAAAATGTATGTCAAAAGAATCAACGAGGCAGGTGAGAAAGGACAGCATAGCAGAAAAGAGAGGTGGTGCTGTTAATGAGGGTGTCTGTGACTGATCAGTTGTGGTTGTCACCAGTAGGCTCACAAAATACCCTGTCTATGCTGTGTTTTGGGAGAAACAGTGTTTCCTTGCCACTTCTTGATTTGTGGGGTGAAATCCTAGTTGAGCTGTCTCGGTGTACCATGGGGACATTGAGGTCCAGGAGGCAAAGTCAGACTTTATTTCCCAGCCATGCTTTTCCAGGAAACTGGATGGATCATTGCCATTTAAATGCAATTCATGTTTGCTTCAGTGCATTTCAATACCAGTGAAATGTCCTCAGCAATAGTAGCAGACTGTTAATACATATGAGTATGAAATTCTTAATTAATTAGATGACATTAGATTACCAGTTGTGTTCTCAAAACAGCTCAAAAGTACTCTTTTTAAAGGGAATTAATATTTAATAGAAAAAAAAAAAGCAACAGCATACTGAAGTCTAAAATAAATGTGTGTGCCTTCATGGCTTTTACGAGTATTTTACTCATAATTTAGTCTGCCAAGAAATTGTATCATAGGTGTTTTCTGCAACAGTGGGGGCTGCCCTGGGAAATGCACTCTCCATCAGGCTTTCCTTCAGAGCCTGATTCCTCCTCTTTAACAAGAGCCTGGGCACCTCTCTGTGGGCAGGGAAGCTCCTTTGTCCCCTGTCCTGCTGTGGGCAGTGGCTCCATGTGAGATTTGTGCCCCCAGCAGGAGTCAAATGCCACATTTCACAGGATTATCAGGTTAACATTCCCACAGCTGGGACGTTTGGGGTCACATCCCAGGTATTGCAAATGATGGCTGTAACCAGGGAACATCCCCATGCAAAGAATCTGTGAAGTTACGGCTCTGCATGTGGAAGCAGCTGATTTGTCACAGCAGTTATGGCCGTTCCTCAAGTAAATTAGGCACGTGTATGTACATCCTTATTTGCAAATAATCCATACATGTCATGAAATAATTTCCATTTTCCTCCTTATGTAGCAGAAAATGAGGCAGAAGACAGCTGAAGTGAATTTCAAGCTGAAGGCCTCTAAGATAACCACATTCTTGTCAAAAAACCCCATTGTTCAGGATAACTTGAGAAACCAGCTGCTAAAATTCAGTCACTTTTTTTCAGAGCAGAAAAGTGTCTTTACACTTCAGCACAAATAATCACAATTAGATTCCCTTGTTTTTAAGATTGGTTTCTACAAACTTTTATTTATCCTGATTCCACAGGACTGCACAAATCAGACAAAAAATAGCATGATAGTCTCTTTTCAGTTTAAGCACATAAAGCAAGTATGAATAGTTGTGACCATGGTTTTATTTTCATTACTGTTTCAGAGCTCCAGATGTTATTGCTCTAATCCACACTCGATACCAGCGGGGTTTTGTTGGTACCACTCTGTTACAAACACTAATAGTAGCAATAGTGGCGAGGAGATCTTAAGTTATCTCATCTCCTCCTTCAATTTTGCCCTTGCAACACCACGCCAGGACATTTTGCTGGAGCTGGGGGGAAGGAGGGGTATTGATTTTCTCAAGATTGCTGTTTTTTTCCTCATCCTGCGTGGTGGCCAGGGTTGGTATAAGTGGTGCCAGGAGCACGGCATGGCTGGGGCTGCAGCAATGCCTGCTCACTCAGACACTGCACAGCAGGGACCTTGCTTGAAATCTCAGTGTATTTTTAGTTGAGCTATGTGAGGGATGAAAGTAGGGCATCAACGCTCAGCAGAACTGTACAGACAGGTTTTGCATACAGAGCAGAGCTGGAGAACGCCATGGGGGTTGGGCTTCTCCTTCCATTTTTTTTTTTTCATTCTGCTGACTTTGTGCAAAAGTTGAACATCAGGTTTTACCCAGTGAACTTACATGAGTTTGTATAATAGATGTGTGGGGGAGAAACAGCCTGTTCAGAGCCAGAGCAGTTCCAGCCTGGTCTGCCTTGCCAGTGACCCCATGGGGGACAGTGAGAGGGTTGGGGTGGGAAGCAGCTTCCTCAAGACATCCTCCTGGTGTTCCTGGCTGGGAAACCCAGCAGGGAAATTGGCATCACTCAGTTGCTTCTCTCCAGCCTTATTCTGTGGTGTGGAAAGCAATTTAAATGGAAAATGAAGAGAGTTTGAGGAAGGAAAATGGGACAGAAATTAAAGGAGTGGAGTCTGGGCTTGATAAACTCTTCAAAATGAGCACTTCTCCCCACCAAAAGGAAGCATTTTATTTTCCCTGTAAGGAGACAAAACGAACAGCAGGGACTATTGTTGTGGCAAGAACACCTGGAGATGTGCGAGCTGCAGCGAGAGCTCGCTGGCAGGGATAGCAATGGCATAATTTGCAGCAACATCTGCAGTTGGCCCAGCAACCACCTCTCCTCATTAATTAGCAGAAGCAGTAGCTTTGCCAGACAGTCCCATTGGCTTTTGCCTTGTTACTCTACCCCTCAGCTAATGAGCCATCCTCTTCCCTTCCTGCTGAGTGAGGCCAGTCTGACCGAGAATGGGCACAGAAATTCGGTGTGCATGAAAGGGGGTGGCTGTGCTTGCCATCATTTTGTGCATCCACCCTGCAGATCATATTTACTACAACCACATGATTCAGTAGCACTGGGCTGTGGACTTATGGACACAATAGCAGAGGTTCATTGATGACTCCCCTGTCTCTCCCTACATATCTAATTTTATGCTGCAAGGCATGAAGCCATGTATGTACAGGCCTGGCTTTCCTCTCTGAAGCTGTTTTGGATTACACATAGTTTATTCACAATTCTGCTTTGATCCTACAAGCTGACAAACATGTTCTTTGACCTTGTCTCATTTTGTCTGCCTGGAGATGATCCATGACATCCATGACATGAGGCAGAAGACAGCTGAAGTCAATTCCAAGCTGAGGCTTGAAGCTTGTCCTTCAGGAGTGATTTGGTTTCCACCAGTGAGACAGTATCACAACCTAGCTCTGCTTAACCCCCATTTCCACAGAACAGTCCAGTTATGCAACATGTGGATCAGTACACAGAGAACTGATGGGCATCTTTGCCTGGCCAGTCCATGCCACCTCCACAGGGCACTGTCCTGCTGGTGAATCACTGCAGCAACGGAGAAATTCATACAAGGCACAGGAAGGCAGCAGCCATCAGTAAGTCCAAGAGAAGCTCAGCTTTCTTATCCAGGGTTGCACTTAAGATCAAATGTCAACTCCTGCACGTGGCTGCTACCTGGGGAGCTCCAGATCTTGCTGCAAGGGAGTTTCTCTCAAGTGGTGGCTGCCCGTGCCCGTGGTGGCGCAGGCAGGATCTGGTTTGAGCCTCAGGCAGTCTCGCTCAAGTCATTTCATGCACAGTTTAATTCTTTGCATAGTGGGGAGGGGGACTTATTCCAAGAAAACCCGATCCAAAATGATCAAGGTGGCTTAATAACACGAGGCAAATGGCAGTGCTATGGCCCTGCTAGACAATAGCAAAACACATTCGGATGCGCAGCTCAGACCTTGCTGCATTACACATGTAATTAGGTTGTTTCCATGGTAATGATCTAATTATGGTCTTCTTGGCTTCGTGTAATCACATTTGCTGCATTTTGGCAGAGCTGTTTTCCTTATTTTTGAACTGCAACACTTGGCAAGATGTTCTTTCTAAAGCCGAATAATAATTTTTGCCTGATGGAAACCGACAAGTCTGTGAGCTTTTATTTAAAGCAGGGTTGAAGGTACAAGACGAGACAAAACTATATATATAGAATATCTATAATATATATGTATATATAAAGAAGGGGTTTTATCCCTGTAATTTCTATTCCTCCTTCCTTCCTACCTTTTTTTTTTTTTTTTTTTTTTTTTGGTGAGTGCTTAAAATAATGAATTGTAGCAGCGGCTGCCAAATGGGAGTGGAAACTCCAGAGATCTCTTTTGTGTTCCTGGGGTTAGGGATGGATTGACCTTAAAGCATGAGATTACACCTCTCTTTGCTTTATTTTCCATGTCTGGAGCTGATACTGACTTCAGACAAGATGCATATGCCAAATGTGCATTATTTCTGATAAACTCTTTCAACTCCTGGTAGGAATGATACCTTAGAGAGAGCTGCTGAAATCCTGGCCCATAGAAATCCAAGGGCAAACTCCTATTGATTTCCACAGTGATGCAATTTCCCATGGGGCTGTTCAAACACCTTAGGAAAAAATCAGAAAAAGCCAAACCTAGCAGCCTGGATTCCCCACCCTGCTGCCCCAGAGCTGGGCAAGGAGGGTGATGTTAGACTTTGGGGACAAAGGTGGTGTCTCTTTTCTCCACCATGGCACTGCCTGGGAATTCAGCTGATGGATTTGCTGCTCCCAAGTGGGATCCCCTTTCCAAATCCATCCCCTCCCCAGAGATCAGCTCATTCCTCTGTGTTATAGGGCAGTTTTGGGCAGGTGCAGAGTTCAAGGCTCTGCCAGAGCCAGTGCTCATAGGGATTTACTGTAGGAGAGGTGCTTATTATAGCCTGTAATCCCTCCTGAGGCAACTCCCTCCTTGGAGTCAGCTGCAAGATCTGGCTGTTACTTATCACTTATAAAGATTTTTAAAGCTTTCTTGCAAAACAAAAGATATATTTCTGGCTTGAGCAATAAGGGATCAGGGGAAAGCCAGGAGATCAAAGGTCAAGCAAGAGGAGCTTGTGAAACCACACTGGAGCAGAACTGCAGGTTGTAGTCAGCCAGGAGCTTGTACTGCAATTGACAGGGCTATTCACGGAAAGGGTTTTGATTAGAGTTGCCATGACAATGGGAAACACCTAAAAAAGATCTATGAAATGTTAAATCGGTGTCAAGCCAAGAAGTTAAGCCAAATCCTTCGCTCTGGTTATTCCTGTGAGTCAGTGGCTTTCATCACAGCATTGCTAAGAGAAGGATTTGCTCGTCTGATTTTGAAGATTTGGGAAAACAGGTATGAAATGTAAATTATGATGGAAAAGATTCGTGCTGCAAAGAATTCGCTGTGGAAGGATGTTGGAAATCTTGTAAATACTGTTTGCAGTTCTTGCTTACTGTACTGCACATACACACTTGGAGTCCTGTGATTTTGATGGACAGGTGGGTATGGCTGTGTTCTGAATTAATGCAGTATAGCTCCCACTCTGCATGGCCTCCAGGGTCCAGGGATTGAAATTTCCATCTCTAAACCTTTACTGAGAGTTTTCAAATCCAAAATGAGTGGCACTGAATTTTAAGGACCCAGCAAAAATAATTCACTTTTGAAAGCAAAGTGTTTTCTCAAGATATCAGAGGTGAGAAGAAAACCTGGCATTGACAATTTTTGAATGAATAATGATGTGAGGGAGGGTGGGTTTTTTTTCCTTCATTAGAGGTGTCTCTGTATACAGGATCCCTAGAGCTTCCAGCAAGGACTAGAGACTGTATTCCCCTGACAGTTTGGGGTTTTTTTTAATTTTTTGAAGAACTGACCATACTGTTAGCCCAGAGAAAGAAAGTTATGCTGTTGAGCCATATGCTTTCCTGTTATGTTCTGCAGAGAATAAAGTGTGATTAGCTATTGCCACTTCAGTTTTAGCAGATTGACACCTCTCAAATGCCAAGATATGCCCAAATAAGCCCACAACAAATGCTTGTGAATGGACAGGCAACTGCATAGCAGTCATGCTGAAAGTCAAATAACAGCAGTGGGGTGGGGTCTCAGGTCTGCTCTGTCAGTTCTGGTGATGTGAATGCCTTTTGTGGGGATCTTTCACATTTAATTTGACTTGTACACCTTCCTTGCAGAGCACCCTGGTGGAATGGCTGCCTGAAGGGGACAGGTTGGATCCTCTGTTTTTTATCCATTCAGGACAGCAGTGCAGGGTACAAATCACAGCCAGGAGAGGCATCACCTCCTGCTTCTCCTCCTGTCCCCACCCTATCTAACAGCACAGAGCAGAAAGGACAGGCTTGTCTCCAAAGGGAATAACAGCATGTTAATGAGAGCCCTGCTCCCTGGAACTGCTGGTTCCTGTACATTGGCTCTGGTTGTGGTATTGGAGAACATGAATACCACATTTTACTGTGCAGGCTGCACAGATTCCCCTGCTGTGCAAACCCTCACGTGTGAACCACAGTAACCACCATCTCTTGCTGTCGAGGTACTGCATGCTTGTAGGGCTGAGGAGCATGTCCTGCTTTCCACAAGCCCGTGAATTTCATTAATGCCACCAAGGGATTTGTGTCTGCCAGTACCAGACCCCCCCACCAATTTATTCTGCCCTTGTTCCCTGCTTTTGTAACCCAGATATTTGCATAAAACAGAGCAGCCATGCCAAGTGCTGGTGCCTCTGTTCCTGCTGCACAGGCTCCATATGCTGCCTATCTGTGTCAATTCAGGGAGCTCAGCCATTGCAGGAGGACAATTTTCAGACTCTGTGTGTGTAAATTAGAGCTGACAGTCTGCAGCTTTAATTCATGGACTGAAGCTGATCTTTGCTCACACCCTACCCATCAGATAACCTTAGCACCATGATCAATACAGCCAGATAATTACAGCTAGCAGAAAAGCTAAGTGCAGGTTTCCAATGTTTTTTTTCATCAAAACAAAGTCCTAGGGATATGTTCCTGCCAAGGCTTAGACAATTCTCCTTTATTACACCGGGAGCTCACTCAAGCCTAATACTATATAATACTTTTTATACAAACACCCTCAACCAGAAATTCCCTCTCATCTAAATCTAGCTCCTCTATCTTGGTATGAGTCTCTAATTCTGCATGTGTAGGGGGGAAACTGTCCCTCTGTTTCCCTGTTGATCTAGTGCCAAATCCACTGACGTCAACAGCCAGGAGGAGAATGACTGAGAAAAAGGAAAACCTGCTCCATGAAATTTCAGAGATTTCTGAAGAAACACCTTTGGATTTTCTACCTAAAGCTGGTTGATATAATTTCCCACTTGCACCTGGCCACCCCTGAACTTGTTTTTCAAACACATGTTGTCCTTTTGCTCTTTATATATTTGGTTTTCCAACTGCCATGTCAAGCTTGTCCTTTGCAGGCACTGACTCAGGGGGAGATCCTGGCAAGAAGAAAGGCATTTCACACTGCCCTGGGAACCACGAGTCAACCTGGGGATATCCTGATTTTCTGTGTCAGGAGGAGCACTAAGGAAGACACTGCTGCTGACCACAAACACTGACTGCCAAGCCTAAGGGTATGTCACTGTCCAATGCATGGTGCCAAGTGAAACGTGGGTGTTTTTCCTGTTTTCACTTTACAATATAGAGAATCAACAAGGTCCATAAGGCATGGATCAGGGTACTTCAGTCAGGACCCAAGGAACAGCACAGTGATGGATAAAAACTCACCCCATTGCGCCAGAGCAATGCTGTAATGAACCCTCTTCATGGGAAATGTTGACATCCAGCTCTGACTCCAAGGGCATCTGGAATTAAAGAGCAGTAGCAAAATGACTGCAATCATTAATTCTTTGGGATGAGAACCTTTCACACAGTTGTGAAGAAGCCATCATCAACACGGACTCTGGTGCACATGCACACACACAGGGCATATGTACACACAGAGAGATCAGTGGATTGCATATGGTGCACATGGCATAATTCATGACTCTTCCTGAAGGCTGTCACAAATCTGAGAAGTATTGGTTAAGAAGAGCACTGGGGTAGTCTTTTAATTAGTCCACAGCTCAGCTGCACTGTAAAATTTACTCTCTGATATTGCATCCAAAATTTATAACTTTTTAAATCAAAAGAACATCTCAGAGTCTGTGTTTTTGCTAATCGGAGGTGTTAATGACAAAAGCACAAGCCCAGAGAAGTGACACGTTAGGCAATTGCTCATAATATTAAGAAATGTTTCTCAGGACATGGTGTTATCCTATAAAAATTAATTTGTAAATATATGGGGCTCCCAGATGTTTTACTCATATCTGTATATTATCTGCTTGGTGCTGGCGAAAGGAAAGCTGCTCTTTGCTCTTTGTGGGTGAATTCTTCCCAGGAGTGCTGTTAAATGAGCAGGGTTTGGCTGTTGCAGGGCCTCCAGCTCAGGCAAATCCATACAGGAGAGGAACAACTGATGGTGAACTCAGCCAGGGCTCAGCACCCTCAGTGAGCACTAGCAAAGACCCTGAGAGGACAGAATGGCACTGGTTTGAAAGGATTTGGGTGTTGGAATAGATGACTGTGGCTCTCGGCCACACAAATGTTTTCCTTCTAAAGACGCATATTATGGTCTTGTGGCTTCATAGCAGCTGTTGCCAGATGTACCCTACTTTGTTAGGATAGGAAAGAGAAAGACACTATCTTCAAAGCTGGTTTGAAGATATCCTGAGTGCTTCCTGCAGAAATAGCTAGAAATAGTTGCATTCTCTGAACAAGTTTATGTTGTGCATGTTCCTTACTGCTGGCCAGCTATGTTGTATGGCTTTCTCACACCTCACAATGCTGCTGAAGTTGATGGCAAAAGCAGAGTCAGACAAGCTTGTGCCACTGTCTGGAGCAGGGGCTGTCATGTGGGTGGTGTAACAAATGTCATCTCTACCTGAAAAGTAATTTATACCCAAAGACACCCAATGTGCAATTGACTGGCAGGGAGCTGTTGGAAAACATTTATAAAAACATAACCTTCCTTCATTCCACAAATCAATCTGTTTTCAGTTATTTTGAAAAGTTTATTTTCAGTTTTGTCCAATTACAGCCCTTCTTGCAATGAGCTTTCTTTTCAAGCTGCACAGTTCTTTCATATTGAAATTTTTCATTTGGAAAATGTCTAAAAGTGCATTTCAATCACTGAAAACTCTTTACCTTCAAAAATATTGAAATATATTGCTTAGATCAGCCACTAAAAATTCCAGGGTTTGCTATTCAGTGATTTCTAAACACAACTGATGAAAGAATCTTAACTACCACTACAGCAAAGTAACTGGAAAATCCTTTGCTCTTTAAGGCATGGCCCAGAAGTGTCCAAAGAGAAAGGCAGGAACACAAGAGGCTGATTTTGACAGCAGACATACTCTTTTTTTGTATTTATTACATCTCTAACCATACTGTAAGTAGTAGATTAGAGTTTCCCATAATAGATACACCCTAAATAGTTTACAGGGTCCCAGGGGTCACTATGTTTGGCTTGCTCATTTGTGTTTTAATCAGCCCTGGAGGGAAAGTCCATTTCCCAGTCTGTTGAGGAATTTGAGGCTACTGCACTGCAGGTTGTGGAAATTGTGGGTGAATATGGCTTTCTTTGCAAAAAGTAGTGAAACTCTCTCATTACATTTGGTGATAGTTTTTCTTTGTGACTAAAAGAGCTTTCAGCTTTACTGAAGAAAACAAAAAAAGGAAGAAAAGCCTTTTTTCATGGACATGTAATGATAGGACAAGGGGGAATGCCTTCAAACGTAAAAAGGGTAGGTTTAGATTGGGTATTTAGAAAAAATCCTTTACTGAGAGGGTGGTGAGGCACTGGAACATGCTGCCCAGAGAAGCTCTGGATGCCCCATTCCTGGAAGTGTGCAAGGCCACGCTGGACAGGGCCCTGAGCAACCAGGTCTAGTAGAAAGTGTCCCTGCCCATGGCAGGGTGGACTGAAATTGGATGATCTTTGAAGCCCCTTCCAACCTAAACCATTCTGTAATTCTATAGACAGAAGGAGTTTGGTGGAGAGTTTTCCATATTTCCAGTAACTCTTCCCACTTTCAGAAAACAGTCACAAGAGGAAGAGATATGCTTGGATATATTTCCAGGTGCTGGTTGCAAATGTCACACTGGCCCTACTCCTGCTAGTTTCCATGTCCTGGAAAATGCCAGCTCCCTCCAGGGCATCTCAGCTTCCTGACAGAACCTTGCCTGGGAAGGGTTTTGCACTGTGGGGAGGCACCAGCAGAGATGTGTGGTTTGGATGCTGCTGGCTGTAGGTAAAAGCCTGGCAGCAGTGGAGAGCCTGGGGAAAACCCATTAGTTAAGAGCTGAGGCACCCGATGCTGTTATCACTAATGCCTTCAGCACAGGACAGGGTTGCAATCAATTTCATAATAAATCAACCCCATTTTCTAATATGAACCAATTTATCTGCCAGGCTGACTTGCCAAACACTATTAGAGGCTGAGGTCAAACTGAAAAAGACATATCATGTTTTCAGCTTCTCCTCCCAACTTCATATCTCCAAGGCACACTCTGCAGTCACTGGTTCATAGCTCTTCCCCCTCCCTGGAGACTTCTCCTTCAGGAGACTTTCATTTAGAGACGATGCAGACACAGCAGGAATTATGTATTTAATGCCAGCCACTAACACGATAACTAAGGCTGAAGATATCACCTGTCTTTTGTCACCCCTGTACAGTATTTATGGAGATAGAATAACAAGATTATTTGAAAGGCTTGATTTGCAGCAGAACCAAGAAAATCCTGGTTTACTACAACCAAGCCAATGTTATGATTTTTATCTGTATTCATTTAGACTACAGCTCTGGTGGAGACACCCATCTTAAAGAATTAGCTACGGTAAACAAGATAGGAGCGAGATTTGAGAATGTTATTTATAGAAGGAATCAGACAGAAATGGCCATAAAATGAGTAATACATAACAAACATGGATAAGGATACACAAAAGAAACAAAGGAATCTCTGCCTTGAATGGTCATTGCACAGCACAGGCTTGTGGAAAATTCACGTACAGGAGAGCGAGGAGCTGGGAGCTGCTGGCAGCCGGGGGCCTTGGGCTGCAGCAGATGAAAACACAGAGTGTTTAACTATTCATCTGACATTACAGAGTGGCCCAGGCAGCCACTGCCATCGCCAGAGCAGCGAGTATCGATTATCCCATTTGGAAGAGTTAAGGGGCTGTGGAAAGCTGGGATAGCAATAATTGTATCAGCAGCTCCCATCCTGGGCGAGCGTGCACGGGAGCAGGCATGGAAACAAAGGGGGAGAGGTGCCTTCCAGGGTAGGGGCAGCAATGGGTGGCAAAAATGGGCTTAGTCTAAAGGAAAACTTGGATCAGGAAAACAAAACCAACACTGCAGGACAAAAATGTTAACTTGCAGCCAGGCAGATTCAAATCAGGTGCAAGTCAGGCATGAGGAATGAATTCTCCAATAACACAATTACCATGGCAGCAGCACAAATGCCACCAACACCCAGGCATCCCTGGCAGCAGCTTGGCTTTTTCCATACTTGTCTCCTTGCAAATCCCTACTTGCACCACTACTTCCATTAAACTAATGGAAATAAAATCTAGATTGCAGCATGTGTTTAAGGAAGAGCTTCACAATTTATGATGCCAACAAAACAGTCAGAGTAGCTTTGTTTCAATCAAAAAAGAATAAAGGATTGCAAGGGCTATTAGGGCTCATACTTCTGAAAAAGAAAGCCAAAGGACTTCAAATGCAAATCTGGGTGAAGCATCACTGCTCAGAAAGGGCAGTCAGCAGAAGTTTCAGTGACACAGGCAGTTACAGGAGATGCCAAGGAAGGTGGCTGGTCGACTTCCTTGCAAAGGGAATTCCCTCTGGTGCATTTTTTGAAATCTTTTGATTTTCCACTTATAGCACTTGCCTACTGGAAAATAACTCAAACTCTTTTTATTGCTGGCCAGACACTTCTAGCACATATCCCTTAATATTTTTCTCCTTATGCCAATTTGAAAAAAAAAAATATTCCAGGCAGAAAAGAACTGGTCAAATCTGCAGTAAACAAGATTACTTATTATGTGCTTTAAAATATTATGGATACAAAGGCATAAAAGGAAGGATGTACTCTTTTAATCTTTTCCTTCCAAAGAAGCTGACCCTTTTCTATCCTAGACTGTATTTAGCTGATGCATATCTTCATATGCAAATATGATTTGATGTGAAGCCTGCTGGACTCAGTAGAAGGATTTCCTCTTGCATTCATCAACACTGAGCCAAGTCCATACTACTAATGAAATTTCTTAGATAGTAATAACAACATTATGAGTGGTGTCACTTTTGTTATAAATCCAGGGATAATAATATTCAATTTGAAACAACCTTAGTTTTCCTGAAATTTTGGTCCAGAGGGCTCTCACTGATCAGCCATGAAGTTGACTACAATGAATAAAAAGCAGAAGGAAAGTGGGTAAAATGGTGAACTTCTATTCCATTTATGCTGAATGGAATCACAGTGAAAGGAGTAGGTTCCACAGAGCAACCACAAATTACTTCACCATAGCCTCACAGATCATAAGTGGTTTGTGCTGATGACTTGGGTATCAACAGCCAAGAAAATGCAATAATATTATTCAGAAATTTCAACCATGTGATTTTTGCAAAATGTTAAAATTGGAAAATTGAAGGGAAAATATTTTAGGTTCTCATGAAGTTGTTCCTTCTCTCCTTCCTGCCCTCACCCCTGCCAAATCCCTCAAAACAAAACCCCAAAGGTCTAGAAGCAAATATTTGGTTGACTAAAGCCTGTTTCATTCCATCTTCAGCTTAACCTTCTGAAGGAATTAAAATAGAGACTGTTAAACTAATTAATTTAAAATACTGCAAAGAAAAGAATTAAATTTTCATGTCTGAGTGCCAAAATTAATCATTTAAACTTTAGAAGTTCATTTTCATACACAGTTTCTGTTCATTTAAATTGCATTTTCTGAGGACTTTCTTAACCAAACTGTAAGATGGGGAGTGGATTTATGCACTGCAACACATCTGGATGAGAGGCTCTGTGTCAGCTGAGCTGGACAGGAGGCAGGGGAGGTGACAATGAAGGTTTGCCTGGAGGCTGGGGATGTCACCTGGCCTCCTGAGCTGTGTCCCTCAGCAGAGACCGGCTCCACCACAGGAGCAAAGAGAAGCTCTGCTGACTTTCAGGCTGCCCTTGGCCCATCTTAGCTTGGCACAGGTCCCAGTAACCCATTCTCCCACCAACTCCCACATGATGA